ATTTAGTTTAAAGATTTATGTTTTTGTGTTATAATTTGTGTTCATTATAGAATGAAAGAGGCATAATTTATATTTATTTCCTAATTTGTTATGGTAGTAGTGAGATTGGTCAAATCTACCGAACCCGTACAGAGATTAATTACTGAAAATAACATAAAATATAAAGTTTTTTCCTTAAGAAACATTTGATAGCTATCTCAACATTATAAAGATTTTGCATGTGAAATTTAAAAATGTTTTGATGCATAAAAGTATTTTTAATGTTAAAATGAATAATACTTTGCATGATAGATAGGCAACGTGTGAAAAAAAAACACATGAAAAACACATTACTTTATTAACCTTTAGACTTAATAAAAACATTTGATATTTTGTGTATGAAAGCATTGTAATGCCAAATTTTGTTAACATTCACTTACTAATTTAAAAGTTATAGTGTGAAAACTATAACAAGCACAAAGTGGTTACGAGGTCAATCCCAGTGATGAAAGAGGTAATTTGTGTTTAAATACTCTTCTTTATAGTCTTTCCTTTTGAATTAGTTTGAGCCTAACCAACTATTAATGACCTAGCTGGTTCATGAAGGCTAGTATTTCTTGAAATTGCAATATGAAAGTGGTTATGAAAGCTGATGTGTTTTCATATAATTTTGTGGTTCATATAACTACTTCAAATAAAACTTTGGTAAATAAAGTTGTATGTGCATTTGAAGTATAACTAATGGCTCATCTTGTACTGAAATTGTTTTTTTCTCTCAAGTGATATAATTCAGATTATTTATGTGATAGCATGTGTTTGCACATTTTATATTAGGCCTTACCTGAACAGTGCAATGTCTTCATAAACACAAAATTGCTAAATTATTTTGTTATATATTTGCCACTGTAACATAATGTTTAAGGCATGATTTCAGTAATTCATTTCTTATCTTTTATCGATCATACTTTTAAACTTAATGTATTGTCAAACTGGTAGATTCTCATCATCAAAGTCTAAAATTGTATATTTTTCAGAAGAAAAAATAATCACGTGTATGATGAGGAAGGAGATCGAATAGGTCTGACTGCACTAATTCGCAGAACTATTCAAAGAAATGGACACATTCCTAAAGGTAATAAGTTGGCTGTTTTTTTTTCTTTTTTTCTTATTGAGGTATAATTTGGATTTCTGTATATTTATCATGTGTTTCTCTCTTAATCAGTATTGATGGAGATTTTTTTTTCCCATGTAAATTTTAACTCATTGGTTCATAAAACATTTGAATGATAAGTAATTATTTTTTCAAGGAAATCGTTCATCAAAGCTGTCCTATGTTGGTCCAGTATCAGCTGATGATCTGCCAAATGCTTATGTGGAAAAACATAAAGATAATGACCTTTTTTTTCAACATGAGTTTGAGGTAAGAGTTACAGAAATAGCACAACATAATATGCATTTCACCTGTGTTCATGAGTTTTGACCTTATATATGAAAAGATATTATAATTATATAATTAATGTGTTTTTCAAAAAAACAGTTCAGCAGTATGTTAATTGTAAAAAAATAACCCTAAGCTTCATAATAGTGTACATTATTGTGCCGTGAACTTTCAAATTTATTACAGCACTGTATTATACTTTAATACTACATTTTTACTATTGTTTATAAAACTTTATGCTTTCTCAAGTCCTTACCAGAGAAATTCAAAGATAGGACAAATCATGCCTCAGATAATCCAGAAAACCTGTGTAAAAACAGATACCCTGATGTGAAAGCTTGTAAGTGGTCAGTTTTCTGTCAGATTATTTAAAATATCCTTTGGAACTGCCTAACAGTTAAGATCTTAACTAGTTGTGACTATATCTTTGACAATGAAGCTGTTCTTGTTAGAATATCCAACGTTTTAAACTTGTGACAATTGTTGTTTGGTTGTGTTAAAAAACAACAACAAAGGATCACGGTCTAACACCCACAGTTTCATAAATAGTATATGCGTTAGTAATACATTAAAGTAAAATTCTTGCAGAGATCACCTAATTAAATTGTAGTCTCAGTAGGTTGACAAGAACACGTTTTTATGTAGAGTCTACATTCCTCATATACGTACATGCTTGTCATGTGTAATATAATCCCTTTGATGTTAGAGTCAGTGGTTTCATACTCTAGATATTGTCAGAGATATAGAGGTTAAAAGAACAATTGTATTCATAACTAGTTTAAGATCTTATTCAAAAATCTTTGATGTTTTTTAACTGTGTCTGAAAATTCAAAATCAAATTACAGAACAGTTTTGCATTTGTTTTAAATAGACATGTTTTTCTGTAATACTGTTGATTACTTTATGAATTACACTGTGACCCAATTTATTATTATTATCTATAAATGTGATAAACTTATGTTAAAAATCTGTACACTGATGTACTTCAAATTAGTGTTAACTTTTAATTGTAGCTCTGTATCAGTAATGAAATGTGATAGAAAATTATACTTACAGTGTTGTTTCTAAAGAACTTCAATTGTAAATCAAATGCATGAAATTCATGTCAGCTGGATAGAAAGTTGCTGTTTGTTATGTTCATCTTAAAAAATTAAGAGATCATGATAACAGAATAACTATTAAAAATGTATTTGGACTTTACTGTCAACTTAAAAAACATACTGGCTCATGATCCCCACCAAACATTATTGTTAACTCCATCAGACATCACCTCTGATCTTACTTGAAACTACAGCTTTCAGCTGGTGTGTCAGATTACACATTTCTTATTTTGATAGAAAATTTTGTAATAGAAATTTATAAACTAAACGAAGTAAAACATTAATGATCACAAGCAAAAATTTGTATGTAAAATTGTGTTAAAAAAACATTTAGAAACAGTAGTGAAATGTTCCAGTTTTTATTTGCATTGTTGCATTGAAAATTCAGAATGAAAGTTATTTCCCATTTAATCTTTTGCATGTAGTTGATCAAACTCGAGTCCAGCTTCCTATTGAAGATGGTATTAAAGGTTCAGATTACATCAATGCAAACTTTGTTGAGGTAAGAAAATATTCAACAATGAAATAGTAAGTAGTCTCTAATAATTATATCTTGTGTTATAATTGACTTTAATGCTTAGTGACAAAACATCTGTTTTGTGAGAAAGAAACTGGAATTGCAGCAATTCTATTCAAGAAACACCTATCAAGTCTCCTTATGACTTTTATGCTTTTGATCTACTTAACCATGTTACTGGAAACTAACGTATAGTTACAACAACATGGCTTCTTGAATCTTGCTATTAAAATAATAAATTGTGTGTCTGTGTTATGTATTGGCAGCCATCAACTAGAGTTTGTTGGCTCGATTACTGTAATTTTTGATATAGTGACTAGAAACTGTGTACAGGGGCTATTTAGTTTTAGGACTTTTGCCTGAAATAGAATGGATTTTTATAAATATTTGTCTTCCATTGCCCACAGTTGGCTGCCTCAATTACCATAAATTTGTGTATGGTAACTGGAAACTATGTATTGATGAACATGAACTAATTTGTTTTATCTAAGAGGGGGGGGGATAGGGTACATTTCCACTTTTTTTATTGACTTTTGGTTTGCATCACCCAGAGTTGACTGACTTGATTACTGTAATTTTTTCTATGGTAACTGGGCTATTTTGTTTTAGGAATCTTTAATGAGAAGGATGATACAAAAAGACCCTGAAACAGGAAATATTTCTAATTTTTTTATAGACATTTAGCTGTGAACTTAAAGACTCAAGTACTTAATTAGTTAATCCTCTCAGTATAGGCAGATCAACGTACCCAAGTCACAACCTTTTTAAAGAGTTACATTCAAATTTAATTAAACTACTTTATTATCAATGTTTATGAATAAACTTGGCATCTAAACATAGCTAATTAATCAAATTTTAGTATTATACAAGTTTTAATTCTTAATTTTATAAGATAATATTTCAAAAAATCCTTAATCTTTCTTAGTATGAAAATTGTGATATATTTGCTCTCTAGGTGTTCTCTCTCTTCTCTAATTTATTTACCACACCTCCAAGAAAGCCAGAATTTAACATAAATTACTTATTATAATATAACTATTACCTTCACTCTTATAGAGAAACATAAACTAGAAAATCAGACCACCTTGCCACGCCCACCCATTACATCTTCTGTTACACAAATTACCAACATTTCTCTCTGTTTTATACTACATTACTTATAACTAATCTATCAATTCACATATTATATTACATTGTTTTCTCTACAGAGAATTGTCTATTTTGCTTCCAGTTCAAAAGTTTTTCTCACAGGAATCATATCAACAAGCTTATCTGAATTTTATAAAGGCTCTATTGCATAGTTAAAAAGCCAGAAAAATTATGATAGTTATAGGATATTGTTTACTTTTTTATGTGTTATTATTTTGTTTTATTAAATGCATTATTTAATTAAATAAAAAAAATTACCATAATATCATTAGTATAAAAAAACTAGGCCTAAGTTTCATTGACAGTTGACAATAAAAAAAAAGACCTGGGTAAGTACTATATTTTTTGTTTTTCCTGTGTATTTTTTATTTGCTATTATAAAAGTGACTGAAATTTCAAAATTAGAAATGTATTAGGTTAGATTGGTTAAGATAATGAAAAATAATAAAAACTAGAGGGGCACTCGGTAGGTAATAAAATAAATTATTCACAAGGTATGTTCTTGAGCAGCTCATGTGTTACATAATTTGATACAATAGCATGAGCTGCACATTTGCCAAGTAATCTGTAACTTATGTGGCAGGATTATCAGTTAGACGTGATTCAAAGGGTAATAAAACAATAAAGTTAGGTATAAACAGATGTATACTGTTATGAGCTTTCAGCTATTTAGAAAAAATCATTTCATATGACAATTTGCAGTCATTCTAGAAAGAAAAAAAAAGTAATTTAGATTTATTTCCTATTTTTTAAAATTGATCATGAGGTTGGTCAAATTGACTGAATAGCAAGGGTAGAAAAAAAATAAGAGATCAAATCTACCGGAAAAAGATATTTGATAACTATTTAGAATGATTTAGAGATTACTCAAATGAGGTTTCACAATTTTCAGATAAAGAAAAGTAGTTTTAATCTTAACATGAAAATCACTTTGCACTCATAGTAGTCAACACTCTTGACTCCATATATTTATGGACAAGTAATGGATTCATGATGGGGAAACTGAAGTTTAATAATGAAGATGAAGACGCTTGATAAAACATAAAACATTTTATTTACAAGGTTCGAATGTTTCGGAATAACTTATTCCATCCTCGGCAAAATCTGAAAATTGTGTTACAAAGATGATTATTACTAAAAATTATAAAATAATAATGTAATCATTAGTTTACTTTGTTGTTAATAATGGATGGATGAAACATTGTTTCCAAAACGTACATACCTCCATTGACACTTGTAGCTATTTCTCGATCTTCATCTTTGGCATCTAAATATCGTGTTTGCTTGCTCCAATCTTTATATTCCACTCGACTGTCCTCAGCATTATCTAATTTGCAAAACTATACACCGAGTTTTTGAAGCTTTGGGGATTCACCCCCTTGCTTTTGAATCTACCCTGCCTTGTTTTCAGATAGATCTCTGGGGTATTACTTAGTTCTTCCCCTAATATTGCTGTGTATGCTGGGATGTTTGCAATGCAATTACGAGAGAGTATTGCTATGACTTGCTCCCCTCGTTTATCAGAACAACATGCCCTGGCTTATCATTGTCTGGCTGTAGTAGATTTTGACACTCAACAGTTGGATTTGTTGTTGGATCTATGGGGTTTCAGGTTAGAACCTGTTATCTCTCTTACCAGATCTCCATTTTCACAGATTCATTTCACTCTTACTACTGTATTGTGATACTCCTCTTCGTGCCCCCCTTTTTGGCCTTACTAGTTTGCTGGAGTCCCTAGAACTTTCGAAGCTCGATTTTATATGGCATGTTTGTAGTTTTCTTTATCATCATTGGCTGCTCGCCTCTCTTCTACTCCAACAGATAATTCTGAAGGATCGATCATTCGCATCTCGTGGAGATCTTCGGAAGGTCGGGATGGTGCCAGTGACATCGGTGTCTACCCATTCAGAAGGTCAATCCCATTCATCCTGGATTCTATTCTCATCATTTTCTGGTGACCATGAACACTAGAGATTGGCTTCTTATGATCAATCTGTCTCGACTCAATCTCTTCCTACAGCCTCCTTGTGTCACCATGGAATCTTTTCTTCAACTTCAATGGCACTTCACTTCTCCTGTTTGGACTTGCTTCGGCACCATATGTTTTCTGACGAGTAGTATGGGCCTTTGAGCAGCATCTTCCTTTTTTGGGTCTGTGCACACATCACTATTTGGAAGATTGACTTCTTTTGGCACCACCCTGGGATGTTGCCACACTACATTCACATATTCTCCTTTCCGATGCCAGAATGGCAGACTTAATATCAGGTTGGAAAAATCCATTCTCTCACCAACTCCATACATGGTCCATTTGGGGTGTTTTTCAATGCACTTTGAGTAGAGCAAAGCCTTCTCCCCTCAGACTTCACACTAAGAAAGGGTTTGTCAGGAATTTGCTTATGTCACCTTCTTCCACTGCATGGATGGTTCTTTCTATTTTGGGGATTTGGGTCTCCCTAAAATCCCTCATACTATTGGATCAGGCCCATATAAGATCCCTTCAGTGGTCATTTCATGGCCAGTGGCTCATGCAAGCTGATCCTTTGGATCACACAGTCTCTTTGCTTGCCCAATTTGCAGATCTCAAGTGGTGGCTAGACAGGAACAACACGAATATCAGGGTCTGAATACCACCTCCTCAAGTAGAAATCCATTTCTTCATGGATGGGGTGCCTTTCTTCTGGGGTAGGCATTCCAGGGTATTTAGACAGACTATGAATCTACCCTGCATATCAACATTCTCAAACTTCTTGCAGTACGTCTAATGATAATTTCAGGACTTCCTCTCTCTTGCATAAGAAAATGGTCATGATTCATTCTGACTACTCCACAGTGGTTTCATATCTTCCTCGTCAGGGAAGTTCTCATTCTTGAGGTCTTGGTTTTTGGGCTTTGGATCTTCTTTTTTGGCTCATTCCAATGACATCCATCATTTGGCTTTTCATGCCAGAGGTTATGATTTCGATAGCAGATCACCTTTCTTGACCCTCATCAGATTCTTCCACCAGCATGGATGTTCCATCAGGTGGTCTTTCAATGATTTTGTTCTCAGTTTGGCTCTCCAATGATCGACACCTTTGCAACCCTTTGGAATGCTAGCCTTCAGTTCTGGTCTCCTATTCCACATCCACAAGCTCTGGTGATAGATGCTTTCAGTCAAGACAGGACAGGATTCCATTTGTATGCCTTTCCTCCTATTCATCTCTTACCCCGACTTTTGTCTGTGCTTCATTTCACCCCATGTTGGGTTCTCTTGTCAGCACCTTTTTGGTCCCTGAAAGTTTTTCCCAGATGTCGGTAGTAGCAGGACCAACCTATTTGTAAATCCAGACTGGATGAGTTCTGGACCTTCTGTGAAGTATGGTAAATATGATCCCGTCAATCCAAGCCTGGGATGTTGCCTTTTGGACTTCTTCAGGTTGATCAGAAGGATTATCCACTTTGGTGTTGCTTTCTTTCTTTCGTCAATCCGGTTGTTCAAAACACATCATTTCGTGGCTGCTGGTTGGGATCCTGTTATAAAGATATGTATATATTTGCAGTCCAACTGCCATTGCCATAAATGGGGGATATGGGTACCATGACCCCTTAAATCCAGCCCCGAGTCATGGAACCTCAGCTGCATGGTTGTGAGTGGCCCATCATATTTACTTGTGTAATAGTCCACCCTTTTCACTTTTCTGTAGTTCTGGGTATAGAGCATACCTGTTGTGGATGTAGTGCAGTTTTCCCTACTTGGGTACCACCTCTCATGTGCAGACGCTTTCTGTATGAACTATGCCCTCACTGGCCCCTCCACCTTCTCAGTGTAGGATTCTAGCTATAAGTGTTAGTGGAGGTGTGTATGTTTTTGGAAGTTATCATTTTCCAAATCTGAAAATGTATTTCCAAACATACTTGCCTCCACTGAAACTTTCCCTCCCTTCTTCCCCAGTAAGAGCCAGTGTTAGTGACCGAGATGGGTTAGGTCTCAAAAAAGTGATTATATTGTCGACATACAGTGCTTATATACAGTACCTGTATAGAGGGCATGTGAGGGCTGGTGTAAAGTTTTGCAAATTAGATATTGCCGAGGGCAGTCAAGTGGGATATAAAGATGAGAGCAAGCAAATACGATGTTTAGATGGCAAAGATGAAGATTGAGAAATAGTTATAAGTGTCAGTGAAGGTAATTATATTTAGAAATACATTTTCAGATTAGGAAAATTATAACTTGTATATATACATTACACAACAACTGAGTTAAGTGTGAAAATTTAGAACAATTTTAGATCTAAAGAGCTTTGTGAGTTGTTAAGGGTCGGGTGGTCTTTAGCTATGAGTAGACTTTCTTTAATGTAAAGGTCAAGGTCTGAAGATCCTGTGGTGATGATAGAGAAATTGTTAAATGAAATATTGTGACCTATGTTTTTAGAATGTAAACAAATGGCTGAGTGACTGGGTTTAAGTAGTGGATGGTTGGTTCTGTTAGATACTCCTAAATGTTCACAGACTCTGTACATGACCGTACAGTCACTACTCATATATTTATACACGAGCCATGAATGTAGAAATTTAGGTACTTGATCTTTGTACTGAAATAAGTGTTTAATATGGAGGCTAGATTTGTATATTATTCTAAGCTGAAACTGAGAATAGAAGTTTTTCATTCGGGAAGAGAGTTGTTTTTTAATTGGTAGGAATTGCTAAGCCATAAAAGGATGGGAGATAATGAGGTGAAATTTGGGGACAGTGTGTACATTGGCTGGTAGTCAGAATTTGTTGTTTAGGAAATTGCATGTAATCTTCGTTAGGAAATTGGTCGAATAGCCATTATTTAACATGTGTTTATGTAGAAGGGTAATTTCTTCATGTAAAATAAAATAATTAGAACAAAGATTAGAAATTCTGTTCAACAATAATATAACCAGATTATGTTTGAAGAAGTTGGAGATAAAACAATTGATGTTGGTGTAAAGGCCAGTAAAAGTTATTGTATGATAAAGAGAGGTAGGAAAGTGTTTACCTTCTTTGGTAATCCTGACGTCTAGGAAAGGTAAAGAATCATTTTCCTCAAGTTTGGCAGTGAATGTTATATTGGGGTATTGGGAATTAAGGTAAGAAAGGAACCTGGAAACGTGGTTTGATTGTTGAAATGGCAAGAAAGTGTCATCAATATAGTGTTTGTAAAGGACAGATTTGAATTCATGTGGGCAGGATTTATGGACAAGTATTTCGGAAAAATACTTAATTAAAAATTTTATTTTTGTGTACAAAAGCTGTGTAATATTTACTGAAAGCTTGCCAAATTCTGTGAAGGTAAATGAAACAAATTGAAATTTATAGTATGGAAACTCTGATGGGCACTTTAAGATCAGGAGGTCAGCATAATCCACAGAGCCCATAGCAAGAGGTTTAACGGATACCATCAACTAGTATGTTTAAAAGTAGGAGCTTAGTGTTAAATGTTTAGTTGCTAGAACAGTTGTTTTGTGAAAAAAAATAGCTAAGAAAACAACTGGAATTACAGTAATCTCATTCTACAACACACATATGTTAAGCCCCCCTTATATAGCTCCAGAGAAGTTTTTATTTGCATTTGATCTGCTTAAATTGGTTATGGAAACTAGCATCCATATACAGTGGAGGGTCTGTGAGAGGATTGTCAAGAAATATAGACTAAAACTGACGTTACATCTTTTTCAGAAATTTTAAAAGTGAAAATGGTTTTGGGAGCTTGAAGCTATATACAGTGGAGGGTCTGTGAAAAGCTTGTCAAGAAATGTTATCTACGACTAATGTCACCATCTTTTGCAGAAACTTTTACAGTGAAAATTACAATGTCAAACAGTAGTGGTTATCATTGTCATCAGAATGAACATGATCAGTGATAAGGAAAGCAGTTCCAAAGGCATCACTAGACTGGAACATATTATTATCGTACAGTGCAGATAATTTCAGTATTAATGATATTTCTAAGGATTGAAGTGCACACTGCTTCTGTATAAGCATGTACATTTGGAAAAGTTTTACAATGTGTAACAATATTAAAGTGACAGCTTCAAAACTTGTGTATAAACAAGAGCATCTAAAAAAAACATTTAAAGATTAAGTGCTATAACCTGTGCACTCTTATCAGAAGAGACATTTTTATACTTTTCTTTAATTCTGTATGATTTTGAATTCATATGAGTATAACAGATCCTGTACAGTATTGAAATTGTCTTTATAAACATGTTGTAGTAGTTGTTTCAGAAGGAGAAATCATTTCACTTTAATTTGTTTGCCATATACTTTTCAACAGATCCTGTACAGTATTGAAATTGTCTTTATAAACATGTTGTAGTAGTTGTTTCAGAAGGAGAAATCATTTCACTTTAATTTGTTTGCCATATACTTTTCAACAGATTCTGTTATGACATAGCACATAAACTCACTATAGCTATTTGTGTTAAACAGTAGCGCCATTGAATTTATTTTAACACACTGTACAGTACTCCTCAGCATGTTATACTCATACATTATTATTGTTACAAGATTATGCTGACTGATGTAATTATTACATTGTTTTCTTAGTGAGGAAACTTTTTCTTTTCCCAAAAATAATAAGTTTTTTTTCATTTGAACAAAAACTAAACAAGATGAACATTTCACAGTTTGATTTGTTTCACTTTCTTCCCTTCAGGGTTATCGAGGAAGAAAGATGTTCATCTGTGCACAAGGGCCTCTTGAACGTACTGTGGTTGACTTCTGGAAGATGATATGGGAACACAAAGTAACTGTGATAGTTATGCTTACTGGAGTGGAAGAACATGGGAAAGTAAGGATGGATACATTTTTTTTGATATACCACAAGCTTTTATCAAGGATTTTACATACAATTTTTTGAGTGATTTGGAGAAGCTTGAATGATTATTTCATTCTAAAGTTTTGTTTCTAATTGAAATTATGTTATCACTTATTCTATATGAAAGATTTATGCATAATTACTTCACATTAGTTTTCTTATTAATATCCGTAAATAATATGTTGGATAAAATCTGTGAGTTGATTACATAAAACTTTCTCTTTTTTTTTTTAATAAAATAAGTTCTGTTTTTTAAGGTTTCTGTCATTGTGGGTCAAGAATAAACATGAATATGAAAAAAAATTAAGGACTTTTTACATAATAAGCTAAAGTTAAAAATTTCTATTTATTTCCAGTTTTTCTTAATTCAGATATATTAGAAACATGTGACTTAGTTTCAGTAACAAAAGTAAAATTATTTTTCTCTTTGACGATGGACTATGTATTTTAAATAATAATGAAAAATATCTTCCACTTAAGGTTAAGTGTGCCCAGTATTGGTCTGATGATGAACCTAAAGAAGTGGAGAAGTTGTATACAGTAACTGTGATCAGCACTATAAAATATTCAGATTATATAGTTAGAAAGTTTCAAGTCCAGCACAAAAAAGTAAGTTATTTTATCTAGTCCTTGTGAAAAGTTTTCAAGTGTAGCATAAAAAAAGGTCATCATAATGTATCTACTAAAATATAAACGTATGCTGCACATATGATTATGTACTAACATTATTTGACTAGTGAAACATTGTTTCCAAAAAAAATGGGTATATAGACAGGATTGAATCCTCAATCTCTCACAAATAAAGAGTGCTATGCCACCTGAACCAAAGCTCAAAGAAGTTTTTCACATATGCAGCATTAAGTAGAATACTATAGGTATGAGAGGGGAGTGTATGTTTTAAATACATAAATTCTTTAAATAATGCTTTTGTATCATGTAGTTGGACATGAATGAAACAAAAACTTGCTAAGTGGAATATGGAGTTGTATTTAGATTGAAAGTCAAGAAGTTTAAAAATATGGAATGACTATAAACAAATGTGTACACATTTTTTGTATAAACAATTTGTCTCTGTGGATAATTGCCATTTTTGACTAAGAACTTGAATTTTTTCTTGACTGATAAAGAAGCATTGATAAAATAGTGAATTTTTGAAAGTATGATGTCAAGGTGTGTAAAAATCAACTGTAATTATGTATCTTTTGTAAACTTTTTATTCGTATATGTGTCTAAATCACATTTCTATATTATCTGAAATTTTTAATTATTTTCTTTTACACGATGTGTTAGCTGTAGAGCATTGAAAATCAGTGAAGTTGTAACAGTGACTATTACGGCTAATTGCAATAGATTATATAACGGGTAAACTCGTGCTTCGCATACGAAGCGTATTTAAACATTAAGCCTAATTTTTTATCTTTTAGGTACCTGTTGAAATTCATATTAAAATTTAATGGTATTGCATTATTTATAAGTCACAGAAAGGTAAAGGATTAACTTAATATGTTTCCTTACATGTTCGTTTATGTTACTAAAGTTAATATCATAAACATCATAGTTTTCACTTGTATAGAATAATTCAGTTTTGCACTCGTATAAGCAAAAAAGTACCACTGTAAAATTAGCCGGTAGGAATATTGGGTTTCCATGCTAGCTACCACACAAACACACACAGACTGAATGACACACATTGGTCTTTTGATTGCATAGATTCTTTGCTACCAAACCACTATTAAATGTGTTTTTGTCATTCTTTCTAGGTTCTTTGACAAAAAGAAAAAAATCTCTATATAGCTGACAATGAACTGAGTGTCCTTATATCCTTTCATTAACATATGAATAAATTCATACATATACAGGTATGCATGATTGACAGCAGTAGTTGTACTGATTCTTCATATAAACATAGTGTTTTTTTCTGGGATAATATCCTCTCTCTCTCCTTCTGCTCTTACTAGATGGTTTTGTCAATCTCTCTATTTGGTAGGTTCATCTCAGGATGTGGATGTTTACAAACTAATCACATTTATTCACATTTGATTCATTACCTTTTTCATTCTCTTGCATCTCTTTGTCAGCCCTAGGATGAGCTCGTCCAGGTGGGCATGTGGATGATTCTACACCTTCTGCTTGTTTTGTGTCCTGATGGCTTTCAGCTTTCACAGGTTGCCATTCTTCAATTGCCCCATTGTCTCTGAGAAGGATATGTATTTTTTCTCTTTCAGAACCCCTTTTTTTCATTTCATAGGATTCCACCAGGTAGCTTTTGTTGCCTTCCAAAGTATAATTAAAATCTGCATCAAGCCAAGGTAAAGGGAAAATGCTCATATCATTTGTCCTGGCACTACCTGTGTCTACTGTGAGGTGGCGTGCTCCTCTTGGTGAGTGTGTATGTGTATTCACTCAGTTGTACAATCCAGATCATACCCATGGACATCATGGAAAAAGTCAGTATCAAGAAAATGTTCTGCCCACTACTCTGGCTCACGTTTACTGGCTTTTGAAAATAGGGTTTCCTGCTGAAAGTCTGATGGTGATCTGGGCATTTCTCTGGGTCTTTACAATGCAAATTCTCCCCCATTCATCGAGTGGAGCATGGGAGACCCTTGCCATTTACCATTTCTTGGCCACTGGAATGGTAGACCATAAATGATCCTCACAGGTGAGAAATGGAGTGGTGATGACACTGTCAGTGTTGTGTAGGTCATTCCTCTGATACATACCTCATGCTTTTTGTGACCTCCTGCAGTCAGAGTCTGTTCAGTAGAGTCGAGATGAGCACACACTGTAAAAATTCAAATTACATATCTATGGTTCCCTCCTCTTGCAGTTGTAGTATGTCCTGGAGTGTCTGATGGTTGTGTTGATATGAGCACACACTATACAAAGCCATATTGTATCATCAGTGTGTCCTCCTTCCACAGCTGGAGACTTGGCTCTAGAGTTTGATGGTAGAGTTGAGGTGAGCACACAAGATATGATCTGAACACACTCTAATTACACTATGTTGACCATCTGACTGATTGTGTGCTCAAACAGTCAAACAGCTCTGCAACATATGAGGCTAATTTACCTCTTCCCCCTTTCCTTTGGGGGCAAAGATGAGGTGTAGTCTCCCACAAATATGTCTCTATGAAGCCCCTATCATCAAATGTCACACTGCATGGGCTTTTTTTGGGGGGAAGTTTCTAAAGGGAGCTGATTTAGGGAAAATTTGCACCAGCCCCTCTACTACTCCAACATTGAATTCTAGCTAAACTGTGTAAAGAGGTAAGTTATTGTCTAGAAAGTCAACATTATCTATCGGAAATACCTTTTCAGGTAAGGAACATGTTAACTTTAATAGTTAAATATTTTGATAAGTTAAAGGAAATACATAACTGAACATATTATCAATGCAAGAATATTTTTGAATGCTTAAAGCAAGTAGAGCTACAAATTTATTCTAAATTTTAACAAATCTCCAAGTGTAATATAATGTTAAGTGTCTCAGTGTTAAGACTAATGTTATTAGTTTTCTTTCTTAGGATGGATTCATGGATGAGCGGGAAATTCTGCAGTTTCATTTTGTTCTGTGGAAAGATTTCTTAGCACCAGAACAACCTTCCTGGTTGTTACGCTTCATCAAAAGAGTAAATGAGCATTATGTTTCAGACAGGGGACCCCTACTAGTCCACTGTAGGTAAGTGTCTGATTATTGTTAGTTTTTTTCAGTTCTTAAGAATTTTTTCTTTTTTGCTAACATCAGTAGAAACTTCTTAGTATTACATTTAATAAGGTAGTTCAGCGAACATTATCCATCAATCAGAAGGCAATTCATTTGTTTCTCCAGATGTGTTTTTCTAATATTATTAACATGCGAGTTCCTTTACTTTATATATTATTATGGTGAAGTTAAGTGGTTTCCATTGTGAATTGTGTCAGAAGATTTTGTTAACCAACTTCTCAGGAAATATCAAAAAGAACTTGGAAAATAAACAGTCAAACAACTAACAGTACATCATCATACACGTATCTTTGTTCTACCTAAAATCCACAAGAAAGGCTACCCTCTCCATCCCATAATTAACTACAGAGATTCACCATACCACCTATTAGCTAAATATCTTATAGGTAAGACATCACTATTACCAGGTAGAATATCTTCACATTTTAAGAACTCAGTCCAACTTGTAGAGATTATAATAGCAACTATGATAACTTCATTTGGGTGTTGAACATTTGCTTCATATATACTTATTATTCAATACTTTTCTTGAGTTTTTTTTTTTTCCCTCTGTGCTTAACTTGTATTATTGAATGTGTTTCATTTCAGTGCTGGAGTAGGAAGAACAGGAACATTTGTTGCTATAGACACTCTCTTACAAGAATTGGATGAAGAAGGACAGGTCAATGTATATGCCTGCATCTCTAACCTCAGACGTTCACGGAATTACCTTGTACAGTCTTTGGTCAGTTCAAACCATGTAAAAAATATCTTTCTTTATGTTAGTCAGTAATTTGTAACTCTATACACTGTTCTGTTTTTATTTGATCAGGCTGGATGATCCATAAGGTTTTTTTCATCTCTTTTTCAATATAAGCTGTAGGAATTATCAAAAAAGCATAAAGCCACAAAATCTAAATGCCCCATTAATTTTTATTTTATTTTATTGGTATTTTATTTTGGACAAGCAATTATAGCTTTTACTTAAAATTTTAATTTTATCTACTAAATATGTATGGATACTAAATTGTTTAACCCTATCATCACAAGTATCCTTTACTGCACATGACACAATATTTTAGTGTCTTACATTCAAAATTTTATTATACTACTTTTTATTTATGTTATAGAAATTAGTATAGCATAAAATATTAGCTAATAATCCATATTTTAATGGTATATAAGTTTAAGTTCTTAATTTTATAAAGCAATATTTAAAAAAAAACAGAATTTTCCCTAGTGTGACACACGACACATTTTCTCTAGGTATCTTCTCTTCTCTATTTTAAAAATAAATTACCTACTCGAGTGTTCTTTTTTTGCTGTTGACTATCCAATGACACTTAACCCTACTTTTTTATACTAATAGTAGAAGTGCATTATACAAGTTTTATTTAATTAAATAATGCACCAAAGATCATAGAATAATAACACGCAAAAAGCAGACAATTTTCTCTAACACAATTTTCCTGGCTTTCTAACAATGTGACAAAAGCCGTTACAAATTCATCCAAGCTAGTCATTACGTTTCTCAAGGGAATGAAGCATGTACTACAAGTGAAATTGATGATTATCTGTTCAGAACACAAAGTAATATAATACGTCATTTGATAGGTGAAAACCTTGGCTTTCTATTTGTTATATATATAATTAAACATAAGAGAGAACTATTAACAGATCCTGAAAGAGAGGACGTGACAGGTGGGTGTGGCAGGAGGGGTCTGATTTTCTATTTGATAGCTCTGTAACCAAACAAAATCGAAGGCTATAAAAAATTATGGTTTTTCTGAGCAATGATGATTTTATAGTGAGTAATTTACATTGAATTTTGTAGTCACTGGAAGGATGGTGGGTCTTGTTTTTCATCTTTATTTTTTATTATAAAAGTAACTAAAATGTAAAAACAGAGATCTATTTAGGTTAGTTAAGGTAAGATCAGATAAAATAAATAAAAATATTTCAAGAGGCATGCACATAAGCAGCTCAGATTAGCTCGTGGGTAATGTAATTCTATAGCATAACTTGAGCTACATGTTTCATAAGTGATTTACAACTTATAATGGTGCAAATAGTTAGACAAGGTTCAAAGGGCAATAAAACAATAAAATTTACTTATAAATAAATGTATACTGTTATGGGTTTAAAGCTACTTAAGATAAATGAATGTAGTTTAAGTTATTCTAGAAAGAAAAAATGGTAATATAGATTTATTTAGATTTTTTGTTGTTTTTTTATGGTGGTTACAAGGTTGGTCAAATTGACCAACCTCATATAGAATTAGGGTAGAGAAAAGAACAGATAAAATATAAAGTTTTACTGAAAACAAACATTTGAAATGTATTTAGTAGGTTTTAGAGATTACACAAATGAAATTTGAGATTTTTGAGATGAATAAAAGTATTTTTAAACTGAACATGAAAATCACTGCACATGGACTATTCAAACAAATACTTGATATATTCAAGGACAAATCTTTTTTTCCAATTATTAGAAATACTTCACTAAAAAACATGATTTTTTGTATGTGAAAGACTTATAATGTTTACTGAAAGTCTGCCAAATTTCACGAAGATATACACACTGTATTGAAAGTTAGTAGTATCAAATCTATAAAGACTTTGAAAGAGTACAAAGAGGTCACATGGTCTGTCAAATTGACCGAGCTTGTGTTGAGAGAGTTTAAATAATTGGCTCTTTTCATCAGCACAGCAATTTTTACTTTTGAATATAACCTTTTGTTATTATTATTAACATAAAATGTTAGTTGCCAATATTTGCTTATATACTTAATATTACATCACAATAAGACATAGATATCATGTTATTGTTTACTGACCCAAATGAGTAGGAAGAGTACCATCGGTCACTGCGTATAAAACAGTTGCCTCACTGCCAGTTAGGCAGTTTTAGGCTAGTAAAGAATGAAATGATTTATTTATTATCAGGCTTATTGTGATGTAATATTACAACTATCTCTAAATAAGATATGAAATTTTACCAGCTTGGGCATTCTACACATATGAAATAATATAAAAATATTTCTTATTTTTTGGTCCTCTTTTGATTGGTTTATAACATTTCCAGATGACCTCTTTTTCTTATCACTCTAACACCAACAGTAACCCTATAACATTAACATTTCATAAAAACATTTTTGCAACTGAGACTAGGGTAAACATATTTTTGGACATTCTACCTGTATTTGTTGATCAGTTTAACAATGAAAACAGGGTTTCTGCAGATTAATTAAGTTGTATTATTTAAAAGCTTTAAAACTGATTTACCATGTTATCATTGAAAGAAAATTTTAGTGCCTTTTATCATATGACAGATATAGTGATGACCAAAACAGCTACTAATTTCTGTACCATATACTCCCAACTGTAGAGTTAAAAATACTGTTAAACTCACTTGGTGTAAATTGAGTGGTAATGTGCAGAAAATTTGTGCAACAGAGATAATATTAAACAAGATGAATTTTTGCTAAGGTTTCTTTTTACCCATGTTTTGGTCTTTAGTCACAACATTTTATGCACAAAACAGTTAAAGCCTCACATAGAAAGTAATTACTAAAATATAGTGCACAGTTACAGCACAGCACATGATATTTTTCAGTAGATAAAACATTAAATATTTCTAATATATATATATATTACTATGAATTTAGATCAAGTCAGAATATGGATTTTGGTGAAAATATTAAATTTTTTTGTCTCCTATTCAACCCCACAGAAACAGTATATTTTTGTTTATCGAGCTTTAATGGAGCATGCTCAGTTTGGTGACACTGAGATAGAGATGAGACACTTAAGGGATCATTATGCATTACTGAAAGGAAAAACGGGCATATCTGAAAATACGGGATTAGAGTTGGAATTCAAAGTAAGGAAGCAACAATGATCTGTATATTACATTATGTGTGTGTCTTGTCAATTTCTAAACAAGTTTTATCCGTATATATATATTATTTTTTATTTGTTGATTGAGAGATAGGTCGAAATAATTTGAGATTAATCTAGTAGTTTCTGAAATTTTCTTTTCTGTTCTCTCAGCAAGTACTTATAGAAAATGCTTAATGTTTCATTCAGTTCATATAATTGTGACTTGAAGCTAGAATGTCATAAATTCTTTTGATAAGTTGATTAGAAAGATGAACGAAACATAAAGATATTATCTGTAGAATTCATGCTTTTTTTCCCCTACCTAGAAACTTGGAGATGTGATTGAGGATCCCAAGACTTCTTGTGTTGGAACAATGGATATTAATTTGAACAAGAATAGATATAATTTTATTGTACCTTGTAAGTTTGTAGCATTTGTTTTGAAATGTATTTTATACAGTGAATATTTTATTAAGAACTTTATTTTACTCCTCAAAGGTTTTCTGTGAAAGAGTCTAAATATCAGTAAAATAATTAATAATTGTATTAAAAACTAAATATTCTGAGCCATAAATGTGCCCTGATCATATAAAATGATACTTTTATGAGTATTTACTGTTATTTTATTCTCTTATTTTATAAATGTCAGTATTTGTTGAAACTTTCATAATTTGGTAAAATAGTACTGACTTATATTGAAATAAAACTTTTTTGGGGAGCATAATGAATATAAGGCTGATTTTTTATTTGGTTTACTTAGCTATGAACATATATTTAATTATGTACAATATTTGGTGCAGATGATACAAATCGTGTAATACTTCCCCCAAGTGCTTCCAGAGACCACTGTACTTACATTAATGCATCTTTCATTGAGGTGAGAATTAACATTCTTTTTGCTTTGTCTAACCATGTGTTATTACATTTAAATTTTATTGTAGTCAATTTTTATTTCTAAGTAAAATTAACAGACAGACTTATTGATTAGAAATGTGTATTATCCCTTATTACCTTGTAAACTATTATAGTCACAGTCCTGAAACTTTTAGTAATAGATTAAGATTCTGTAATACTTTTGTCTAACCCTTAGGGCTACGATCGATCGTTATCCTTCATCGTTACTCAGGATCCTCTAGAAAATACACAAACTGAATTCTGGAGGATGATCAAAGAGCATAACATTAAAGTTGTTGTGGTTTTGTCAGACCTAGGAGAAGAACAGGTAATTTAAGAAGTTTAAAAGATTGGATAAATAACATATTGAAATAAAACTCAAAGTTATTGAAACTGTTTTACTGATAGCTTTTTCTGTGAAAAATAGAAATATGTATATTTAAAAAATGTATGTGTGTGTGTATATATATAACTAGATGTTAACCCAAGACTACCTTTTTTATTGTTATAAACATTTGGTTTACTGACTCCTTTGATGGTCAGTGTCCGAAATCCTGTACTTGTCTTAATGAACCATATACTGTGTGCTGTAAATGTTCAGTTCCAAAAACCAAGAAAAATTATACTAAAGACACTAATTAAATAATCAATATATTTTTAATGACTAACTAATTTGTTATACATTGTTGTTGTTTTGTTTTTTTTTTCAGACAAACTGTCCACAGTATTGGCCATCTGAAGAACAAGAGTATGATTACATCAAAGTTACATTCCAGAAAGAAGTAAAAACAGATTTATTCATCAAGCGAGAATTTCTTGTAACAAATACCAAGGTAAAATATACTTTAACAGGTATTTTCTTTTTACCATGATTTTGATAAACATGAATTTTTTTTTTTTTACTTCCTTTAAAAACTTTGTTTATACAATAATTGTAAGCTTAGTCAAAACTTTTGTTGTTTGTGTCTTATCTCTTTATTAAATGTTTGGTAAATGATTATTAAGAACTTCTGAGTGAAAGTAAAAAAAGAGTACATAATAATATTTCAACCACATTATATCTGCTATATCCAGTTCTGGCTCTTCATACTGGCTGGAAAGCAACAGGTATAGTAGTGGTTGAGACAACTATTCATACTGACAAACTGCTTGACAACAACTGTTACAGTGTGAACGGGATTAAATTAGTGAAGTTTAATTTTTCATCAATTTTATTTGTGTCACAACAAATCGGAATTATGGAAAGGGTTTTTAACATTGTATTATTTATTTATTTATTTTACACCATATATTAATTATTATTTTCTTGAATTAACCTGCTAATTCAGAAGAATTAGCAGACTAGGAGTTAGTGATAATTATTGTATAAAAGAAACCTCAAAGTTTCAGGGTTATGTATCAATATTCAGTGCTTAAAATTGTCCCAACATTCAGGCGAGTGCATGTTGTCACCACAGGAGAGATTTCTCTGTATGTTGTTGTATTTATACGTATTACTGCTAAAACATTTTTCAATTTTATGTCTGTAAAACTAAGTTGTGTAAGGTTTTAATGTCTTGACCCTCTAAACATGGATAGGTCAAGATGTGCATTTAACAACTTTTTACAGAGTTACATTTAAAATTTAATATAAACTGCTTTCAGTCTTTACTTGTCTGTATCATGTGACCTTGTTCAATCTGAATTGCCCATTTTTGATTTTCTCGTCACCCTTATATGGTGTCCTGAATTTAATAAATTACTCATTTATAGTATAGATATTACTAATGTATAGTATAATTTTATAACCTCCAATCTTCTTGATTTATGGAGATATAAACCAGAATGTCATGAATTCTCTCTTACATTTGAACTTGGATTGTTTATAACCAATAGAAAGAAAAGGTTTTGATTTTTACTGATTTCCTTAACGGCTAACTCATACTGACAACAGTGTGTGAATTATTTTAAGGCAATTATACCTCAGTTAGAAAGCCAGTTAAATTATAATTACAGGGCATTGTATGCTTTGTGTGTGTTGTTATTTTGTGCTCTTAGTTGCATATTTGAAATAGATCAAATTTATTTTATGTACTTCTACCATTTTTACAAAAAATCAGGGGCCACTAACAGCAAGAGACCAGATGTTAGTACAAAATTTATTGTTTATTATGTATATTTTAATTTACTGTTATAAAAGTAACTAAAATGTAATATTAGGAACTTATTACGTTTGATATGAAAACATAAAGGAAAAAAGTTAAATAAAAATTACTCAGTGAAGTCTGCATGTGTGCTACATAATTCAATACCATAACTTGAACTATGCATTTGCCATGTTCTTTACAGCTTGGTACATGGGTTTAGTACTTAGAAATAATTCAAAGCTCGGTAAAATTAAATAATAATAAATGCAAATTATTATGAGCCTGATGCTGTTTAGGATAAGCAATAGTAATATTGTGTTACAATTTGAAGTCATTCTAGAAAGAAAAAAGGATAATTTAGATCTATTTAATATTTTTTGTGGTGATAGCAAGGTAGGTCAAATGGACAGATTTCTCATAGTGTTAGGTTAGAGAAAATAACAGATAAAGTATAGTTTTACTGAAAAAACTTTTGATATTCATTTAAAAGGTTCTGGAGATTATGTAAATGAAACTTGGAAACTGAAATATGAAAAAAAGAATTGTTTATCTTAACATGAAAATCATCTTGCACTTAGACTAATTAGAGTCTGGGTCATATAAATTCACAGAAAATTTTTTAATAAAAATACTTAATTAAAAAATTGATTTTTTGTGTACAAAAACTTGTAATGTTTGCCAAATTTCATGAAGATACATTTACTACTTTCAAAGTTATAGTAAGTATAGTTTCATGGTTACCTGGTGGTTGCAAGGTTAGTCAAAATAACTGAGCCCAAGTAGCAAGAGTTAAATGGATGGTATGTGATTGCATATGATGCTAATATATTTTTCTGCATGGTACTCTCCATGTAGTATTTTTTGTTATATTTACAAGTCCTAAATAGAAGAAAGTTTGCTCATCATAAAAACAGAAAATAAGTTTTAAAATTAAGGTTAGCATTTCAGTTAAATACTCATGGTGTATGAACTATGAAGACACTATTTTGTGTTGTTGGTTGCTTCTTATTTTTAGTGTTTTACGTAGTAAAGTCATCTAAACTTTTTTTTTACAATTTTAACAGAATAACGACAACCATATTGTCACTCATTATCAATATCTGAAATGGTCAGATTCAGCTAATTCAAGTGCAGTGCCAGAAAGTACTTTAAACCTTATAGGGTTGATAGAAGAAGTACAGTTAACTCAAACTTTGGATTCTAACAATAGTCCCATCACAGTACATTGCAGGTAAGGTTTAAAATGATATGTCAGAATGCTTAGTTATTGAAATTATAGCAGTGTTGGAAGAAATATCTTGAATGATGTAGTTCCATTTCTTTACAAGTTGTATGCAGCATTTAAAAAAGTGACAGATATTAATGAATAGGTTATTGCTTGGAAAGGTTTAGTACTTCCTTAGTTTTTCACTGGTGGTTGAAAAAAAAGTAGTTTTAATATGGATGAATGGCAATAATTTTTGTGACAACTTTTTTTTTTACATCGGAATATGTTCAATTAAGAAAAAGAAATGTGTAAAATTTTAAGTTTATGAAGAATACCAACAAAATAAGTTATCTTTATTAACCAGCTTTTATTTGTACTTTTGATTTTTTTATTCCACAAGAATTTTCAAAATGAAATACCTCTTTATGAAAATGTATACAATTTGTGTCTCAAGGAAATAAATCCTAAGTCACTTCTTGGTTTATTATTTTGCACATATTATTTTATGGAGGAAAAAAAATCCTCAGTCGCAATCTACTGAACTTTAAAATATTCATAATAGTGATAATAAAATTTGCTGCTTTTTCTATAAATTAATAATTTTTATGCATGTATAAAAACAGTATGCATCATGATAAAATAATTGCATATTTTATTTGGTGTAAAAGAGTTTGAGTTTACACAATATTTTTTCAATGGCTAATCTTTATTAACTCATGCAGGATTAGATTTGATTATGAAAACGTTTAGCTGGTTGAGGAATCATTGCTATATAACTTTACCTTGTTTTTTGTAATTGCAAAAAATACTATACCAGGTTTTAAGTAGTTTCATTTTAAGATGTTCTTTCAGTGAATGTTAGTAATAATTTGAATGTAATTTTAAAAGTTATGTAATATCATTTCTAATATCCTACTTAGAAAAAAAAAAGAGAAAAACAAATGTTACCACACTAAAGAAGTAAGTAATATTTTATGCTTTCAGTGGAGGAGGAGACAGAAGTAGCATCTATGTCACTTTAAGTGTGCTTATCCAACAGTTGAAATTAGAAGGAAGAGTTGACGTCTTCCAGGCTGCACGTCACACCCGTTCTCAACGTCAATGTATGCTCCAAACAATTGTAAGTGCCAGTTATTATAAGAAATTATATATTTGTATTTATTTTTTTTAAAAAGTGTAGCTATGATGGAAAACAAACTTTATTCTTTTAATTATATTTGAAATGATACTATTGAAGAAAACTTCATATTCAAATTGTATAATATATACATGCATATATATTGTGTGGTTTAGGTTCACCTAAGAAAGATTCTTTTTGTAAGTTTTCAGAGTATGAAATTCCAGGGTTTCTGAAGTTCTTGTGGGAATATGCTTTTATGCCCACAAGATGTGTAAGTCAATATCACTGATTTCAGCAGAAATGTAGTTGTGCAGTATATGAGCTATTAGAAACAATATATAAATTATTTGCAGGTTTTTGAGAAGCTTCTTAACCCTATCGCTCCAGGTAATCTTTATTGCACATGATGCAAGGTTTTAGTGTCTTACATTCAAAATTTTATTAAATTACTTTTTGTTTATATTATACCAATTAGAATAGCATAAAATCTTAACTAATAATCCATATTTTAATAGTATACAAGTTTTAAGTTCTTAATTCTACAAGACAATATTTAACACAATCCTGAATTTCCACTAGCATGTCATCATCCCTATTTTATCCACCACCCCTGAAAAGTACAAAATTAAACATAAAATACACTATAAAATAGTTATTGCTCAAACAAACAATCAATTTTTATAGCATTCAATTTTGTTTGGTTACAGAGCTATCGAATAGAAAATCAGACCCCTCCTGCCATACCCACCTGTCACATCCTGTCTTTCACAATTTGTTGACAATTCTCTCTTACGTTTCATTATATATTACATATACCCAATAGAAAGTCAAGGTTTTCATCTATCAAATGAGGTATTGTATGTTCTCAATGGTAAAATTTCAATTTCATTCAGAGTACGAATATAGTTCCCATGGTAAAGTTAACGACTGGCTTGGATGAAGACTGAAGGTTTTTCAAATGTCATCCTTTTTACCTGACTGAGCTACTTTTGTAGATTGGTCTTCCAAGACTTTCTCTAAAAGTATCACTCTGAACTAGACAGTTGATGTCCATTTCAACTTTACTGGTGATCTTATACTTGAATTATCAAAATAGCATTAGGATTACCTTTGTCAGGCTAGGTATTGTGTTTTTTGCTACCAATATTCTTGGTTTAGATCAATTTATTTCTAATAAATATAGTTTATTTTCAATAAATGACTTTTATTTATGTGCATTGTATGAATACAATAAACTTAACGATAAAATTCAGTAAATAATAACTTGAGTATTCAGAATATTGTGCCTTTGCCTACCATACTTGCTAAACCTTAGTATTTTTACCTGATGGCTTATCATAAATGAAAATGAAAATTTTCAAACAGATATGATTTAACATGACAATATTTTTAGGAACAAAAGAATCACTTAAACAAACTATAAAAAAGTTCCCAGATCTTTGATTGTTCCGAAGTCTTCTAAACTTCCAGTTAGATTTCTTTATTCACTGCTACAAGACTTCCTGCTAGTCACTCTTTCAAGATTCTGTAAATTACTGCTCTAAATACTTTATTTGCTCTACAATGACATAAATAGTTTGTTTTGCACTGTCCAATTGTATTCAGACATTCTAGCTATTTTCAAAGTTATACTTCATTAGTAATTGTTCAGGCCACATGCTATGACATCATAAAGGGTGGGAACAAAGTCCTGTACTATTAAAACCACTAAAAGTGAAATAAAATCAGCTGAGAATTAAGACATGGAGAATTATATTCTCAAAGGTTGATAGTTTCTTAAAATATATAAACCTATGTTTTGGCATGTGCAAAAGAATTCTGAATCAAACTGACAGGTGGGTTGTTTATAGTTGACACTCCTGAGAGCTAGGTGCACAGAAATGAAAGTCAAAAATTCTTTTTGATTTTTTTCTTCAATTACGTTAAATAAATTTTACAGATTTTAGAAGTAAAAATTGTTGAAACAGAATTATTATTTTTTACTTAATTTTGAAATTTGATATGTAGGTGTGCACTTAACACCTGAAAAGTCCTCTGCAGTCTCGATAGGGTTAATGTTCTTATATTTTGTGTAGTTGAGCATTCTTTTATCTCTTAGAAAGACTTAATCAGTGGTCAGAGGCCAAGATCACATGACATCATACACAGAGTCAACCACACTATAAGAATGATTTGCATATGCTAATGCATTGGTATGTCACCAAAGATACAATTTAAAGCACCATAGTTGATGTGTTTTGGAATTTACTGACAATTCAACAATGCTTTGTTATCATGGCTTTAGAAGTATGTCACAGCTCTATATTAAGTAGGATATACTCATAATGATATTGTCAAACAATACAGAGCTAAAGGACACAACATTTTGAAAAGGGAGAGCCTTAACTGTTCTCCATAAAAATGGGAAACTCACACAGCAGAGTGTTTAGGACACTATGGGCTCTGAAACCATACCCAAAACTTTCATCTGCAAAATAAAGCTTATGGTTACAAAGAAAACCCTTAAGCTCATAAACCCATTACATCATAGCTGGGTTTTTCTTTTGGTACTCTTAGCAATTTAATAACTATAGGGTAAAGTTGATGAAGGATTATGAGACAAATCTCTAAATTACTAGCTGTTTTTGTAAAAAGGATGGCCCGAAAAGCTGGAATTCCAGCAGTTTCATTTGACTACATACCATACCTGTTAAATCTCCCAATGTAGCTTTAATGGTCTTTTGTGCCATTAGTGTACTTAGAAGTCTACATATAGTAGAGGGTTTGTGAAAATTGGTCAAGATATGTGGTCTAAGATTAACTGAGTTATTCTCTGCAGAAGCTTATTACATTGGAAATTGGGGTGTTGGGGAATAGTGTGTAATCATGGCCTGCAGCTTGAGCATATGTAATGATGGAGAAAGTAGTTTCAAGGGCTCTTTGGGTCCTGACATTGTTCTTACATTGTGATTTATCCTCATTATATTAACACTACAGTAAATGTATGAACCTTATTCAAACCAGATTCCCTTCCTGATCATTACTTATGCTATGTTGTATTTTTCTTTAGTTATGAATAATACATTAACTAACAGTTTATATATATTTAAAAATTAAATAAAAGTTTGTTTAGTAGCTATTTCGATTTCATTGACTAACAGATATGATTGAGTACCTATGAGCAATGATTATGGAGAGTGTCAACCATACTTTATAAGAATAATCTGTGTAGGCTAATACAGTGTTACGTCACCATAGATGCAATTTGTAGCACCATTGTCATGAATAACAAGTATGGAAAAATGTACACAATGTTATTGCAACAGGTGACTGATAAATGAATAAATCTTTCATTGTTTCTAAAGATTAAACAATGCAATTGTGTAAGTTGTGTGCATGATGCATTTTCTGTGCAAAGTTTAGGATTAAAAAGTAATTTAATTCTAAATCATTGTACCTGAAATCTAAAGACTGGGTTTCCTCTGGCTTTTCGTAAGTTTTAAAAGTTAATTCTAACTATATTTCAACAATTTTCAAAAATATCTTATAATCAATATTTTATTTTCTGACACTTATTTAATATAATTCATGAAGAAAATTTTTAAAAAGTTCACATTTTTGTTTTTGTATAACTCTGAAGAGTTTTGCCTGATTTTTTTTTTTTAATAATTTTTTTGCCCATCTCAAAGAATGATTATTTTTGCTAAGAACCTATCAACCCTTGAAAATATATTAACCCCTCTCTTAATTTTAAAGCATTTCCCTTAGTCTTTATACAGACCTTGTTGCCATCTTGTTATGGTGCCACATCAGATAATTTGATCTATTTATTAATAAAATACAGCTTTGAAAAAAGCTATTAAGAAAGCTTAAATATGATAGAATAGAGCAAAAATTTGACTGTCATGTCATAGTAGAGTAAATATACAGGTTTAAGAGTTTTTTATTTTTTCTGTAAGTGTTCATTTTGTTTATGAATTAGAGGGATTTATTAGGTAACAAAGAAAACTATTACAAGTTTAACAAAGTTACAAATGTGCGACATTAGGAGAAGGTTTTATCATCATCAGGTATAAATAGCTTACCTAGACACATAAATATATGTGCATATACAATATGGAACTAAAAGGTCACATAACTCGAGGTTGCTTAAGGCTTAGTAAAGGTATCTTTATGTTTAGTTCTTTGTTTAGAATTACAATTCTTACTTTTTTAATAGATATACTATAGTTTTTGTGAGTTGTAATGTTTATAAACATGAATTGTTTTTATTTATTATTTTCACCAAATGAAATTAAATCATCATCAGATCAGATAAGCTGTCTGTTTAGTGGGTATGGTAGGCAATTGTAAAATATTGTGAGACTCAAATATTTATAGAATATAATTTCTATGTTTATCCTATGCAAACAGTGTACATAAACAAGTTAGCTAACTGGCTATTTAATTATTTCTAATTGCAATTGTGATATATTTTAAATAAAAACATTATTGGTGTTAGTAAAATATCTTTTAATTATTAATTTATTTGATTTACACAAGATCAGTGGGGGATTAAAAATCAAACAAAATGGCAACTGCATGATCTTCTAGTGAAATTAGCAATTCATTTTCCAGGTGAGAAATGTTCAGATTATCTTCAAAAAACTTTTGTGCTGAAATATATTTTCACAAAATGCTTAAATGGCAAACCTTTAAAAGATATCTATCATACAAAGGGTAATTTGAAAGTAACTTAGGATAATAAACTAGGTACAAGTACCATGATAGAATAATTCAGCAGTTCACAAATTTATGAAGCTAGCACAACCCCATGTTTTTCATTTTTTAGATTAATTGATAAGCAAATACCACTAATCACCAAGATCTAATGGTAATGCAGAAACATTAAAGGATGAAATTAAACTGGTAACTTTTATTATAGTATAACTTTAGTCTCTTTATGTTCAACTTTATGCAAGCTTGGAATAATACCAATCATACAAATGCTGCTGTCATCATAACATTTGATACCTAGATTATATTATATATATATATATTGCAAACCGTGTTGTTTTTCTGAGCAATTGACTGTCTGTTGTTTGAAAAGCTGCACACACACACACAGACAAAGTTCTACATTTGCTTTTGAAATGGCGGGAGAACAGGCATGAATAATGTTGATGCCAAATTTTGTTTTGCAAACAGGATATTCTACACAAAATTGTTAGAAATTAATCATCCTATCATTCACATTTCAAAATGTAACATAACTTAAAGAATGAAAATGTAGATTTACCATATGTTATTGTAGAGTGGCACTTAGCATGACTGAATTGCTCAACAATTACTTTTCGCAGTGGAGCTCTGAATGAAACAGAGTTCAACACAGTTAACTTTTTTTAAAGTCCATGAAATAATTTATAATGATAGATTAACTTAAAAACTTTTCCTGTCACTGGGGACAGGTATTTTTGCTTGTATTACAAATTCAAAAAGTAGCCATTTTATTGATTAATATTTATTCCATTTTTCGTGGAACATTTTGAAGTGCTTAATTGAACGAACACCAGAGTCTCTGAGTGATACTTTGCAGCTAGGCACTTTTATTGTATCTGGGCATTGGATTAATCCTAGCTATTTCATGTAATTTGTTTAAAGTTGTAGGGAAGCACAATAACTCTTATAAGAAACATACATATCTGAGTGCATGGAACTGATGAGTAATTTAAAGTTATATTAGATTGTTATATTAGATTCTCAGTCAAAAGCTTCAGAATATTTTAACATTTGTTTTATTATATAAATCAGTAGTTAGAAAATATGTAGAATTGCTGTAGTGTGCCTTGTATGCCAGGTCGAAAGACAAAAAAGGAAAATGCTGATAAATCACGGAGTATTAAATGAAAATGAAAAAAAAAATTAAGGAATTACAGTTACATGCAAGATGCATCATATAATTGAAATTGTTTATTATAGTTTATTAATGTAATATATTATCCTTGTCAGGCCATGTTGTTTCAAAACAAAAAAGTGGATAATTTCTTTTATTTATCTAACCAATTAATTTTCACTAGTGAAACATAAATTAAAAGAAACATTTCAAAATCTTTAGGTATTTTTAGATAGAGATTCAGTAGTATTACAATATGTCATTGCAGTTATTTGTATTGATGTTTTTTACATATGTTCCAAAACTGTAACAAAATTAGCTATGGAACTTTTGTGAATGAGTTTCATGGGAATTTAATATAAGTTATATTCTTGAAAAGAATCTACACTATAGATTTTTTTACACCCTATTACTCATAAATATATCAAAAATTGTACAAAGAGATCTCATAATCTTACTTACTCCAAACCGAAATAGCAAAGAACTGTATTTTGTTTAATGGCTAGAAACAGTATTTTATAAAAATGTCCATTATCATGAATAAGAACTATTGTATCTAGGCTGATACTATTGCTATTGTTCTATTACTATTTGTATTGTTTCTCAGCTCATAAATATTTTGTTTACATACACATTATTTAATAGATTTTGGATACTGATAGTCAAGAGTGCTATTTCATTGCTAATAACCAAAAAACTTAATTATTTGGGGTACTTTGGCACTACCAATCCAGCAGAAGAATCATATGTTTAGAATAATTGCCAATGAGTTTTCTGTGTAATTTATACATGTGTATATAATATCAGATGTCTAAATTCCTTGATAAAAGTGCATATTCAAATCATTTGAGTTAAAAAAATATTTTTTTAAAGTTGTATTATTCTTAATTTTCAATTTGATTTCAATCATCTAGTCTCGACTACAAACTGGAATAGTTTCTTATTATTAAATTGATAATATTGATAATGTATCACAAGTAACAGATAATGTACAGTAACTTGTGGTTAGCTAAAAAGTTGTATTCAGTTCAGTGCCTCAAATATTTTTTTAAGGTTTATGATTAGAAAAAGTTTAGACATAAATTATTTATAAATAAAATGCTTATGTTTACAAGTTGTCATTATTTGTACAACTGTTTTCAAAGTAAATCCGACAGAAACTGGATTCTAAAGCTGGAATACGTGCTAATTGCTCATTGAGATATTTTTCAAATTTGTTTTCTCTGTCATCTTGAAAATGTGAGCTTTCGTTTCTGTGCTTCCAGGGCCAGTATGACTTCCTTTATCGGGGACTTTTGGATTACATGCATCATTACAAACTGTTGGATGTAGGAGACACTCCACTCTGAACATCAACAACTTTAATTCAATATCATGTTGATATTACTAGAAACACTATAGCTATTCTGGTACTTTAGTGATTGCATAAAGAACTTTGGTGCATGGTTTTGTACTGTTTCAAGCAAAATTTGCCAAGAGAACAACCGGTTAGTGCCTAAAGAAATCAACCACGTGAGAACAAAGTCAGTGCTGTCATTTGAATGTGTGTAATCATGGAAAAAGAAGGAAGAACTTACTCAGAAACTTGTGCATACCTCAGTAATCCTGTGGTTTTGATTTACAATAATTGGTTGGTAACTTTAAAAACTTCAAAACAGTTTTAGTAAAGAATCACTGAGCCAGTCCCAGTGAAATCTGTACATAAATATGTGTAATGTTCTCTACTGGTTAGCTGTGAAAACAAATCAATGTTGTGTTATTTCTTCTGTTATATTCAGTCTATACAGTGTTTCAAGAAGGTCTCAAGTTTGTTATGATACTAATACTGTGATTGATGGACACACAAAAGTCTGCCATTTTAATCATTTCTGTTTCACTGTTTTGTCTTTCAAAACAAGTGTTCTACATATCTCAAGTTCTAAAGTAAATTAACAGAATAGTTTTCTTGTACTGTTAGTTACATGATATGTTGTTATATACTGTAGTACATCAATTGGTAGATGAGGTGTCTGAACAAAGATTTTGTTTGTGAGCTGGAGTTATTGAGGTCTTGTACCCCATTTTCTCCTAAATTCAAACATGTCAGGCATAGTAGTTTTAAAATTATTAAATAATGGTTCCTGGAGTCAATTTTTTTTGTTCCAAAATACATTCCAAATCCATTTTATTAGAACTACATGCTCCACAAACATTATAATGATATAGTTTCCAATGTTTTTCTCATCATAAAATTCATATCAGAACTGGTCCCAGTCTTGTTTTAAACTAGGTTATAAGACTTTTACCAATTTTAACATAACAATAGAAAATTTTATTCATCTATTGCAACAAATTTATAATTAAAATGCTTTAAAAAAATCATAAAATTTATAGTTTGAAGTTATTTATAATCTTTTTTCAAACATATTGCATGATTTTTGTTTTCACCAGATTTATTAAAACTGAATATTTATAGATTCATGGCAATAGGTACTTTGTCACAATTTCACTGACAAAGATATATTAACAAATAGAATATATACATTATGTGTGTGTGTTTTTAAAAATATGTGGGCCATATTCTGGTTTGTACAGATTTTTCAGTTATTACAAAGAATGTATACCTGCAGACATTATAGCAAATTAACAAAGGATTTATAAGCACATGGTACAGGCATAGGACCCCTAATCCTGCAAGCTTGGGATATTAGGCTAGCCAGTTTGGGGGTTTTTGGGTTTCGGGGCCGTATACTAAGCTATAT